GTGCAGGGTAAATTACACTTTGTCACCTTTATGTTTTATTTTTTTCACTTTGGACCTTAAAATTTTTTGAGTAAATTATAAACACACCCATTGAGATTTACTTAAAATATAAATTGTCCTGTCTGATTTGAAAAATTACAAATGCCTCCATTGTCAGAATTTCTTATTTAACAGAATTAACTGAAAAAATAAAATTATTAACTACTTTCTTATACAATGATAAAATTACCTAAATTATTAATGAAAATAAATTTCTGATGTCATTAAAAACTCTTAATTGATTTGATGAGTTATTAATAAAATGAGTAATTTGTTATGAAATTAGAAACTTCAAGGGGTGGGATGTAATTTTTAAAATTTTATGGGACAAATCGTATTTTAAACAAACCTCAGGAGGTGTATATGTAATTTATCCATTTTTTTTCTCACTTTTTCACTTTACATTTTAAAATTTTTTCAATTTATTCTTAAAGATAATTTATCTCTAAAACTAGTAGGGCTGAGCATAGGGTCATTCGACCCGCCCAAACCGCCCTACCCGAATCGAACCGCACGCATGTGGGCGGTTTCGCAAACACATTAGGGTAGGGTGCAGTTTGGATTTTATATAAATTTCGGATTGCGGGCGGGTTGCGGGTTTGACCCGCACCCGCCCAACCCGCCCGCATTAAATTAATTAATTTTTTTCCCCCCTCTTTCAAATCTAACCGTTCATCTCTCACTCACCATCTCACTCACCTATAACAAACAAAACAAAAGAAAAAAAAACCCTAATCAAATCTAATCGGCTCCCTCACTCTCTCTCTCAGTCTCACCATCCCTCATTCACCACGATCATGGTTTCTCTTTCTCACTCTCTTGTTTCTCGCAGCCGATCATTCAACATAGAAACTTTCTGCACCGATCACTCTCTTTCTCATCTACCGATCATCATCGCACAGCCGATCAATCTACTTCACAGGTAAACTCTCTTAATCTCTCTCTCTCTCTCTCTCTCTCCCGATCGTTGATTTTTTTTGTTTTATATATATATATATATATCAGATATATATGTCTGTGATCTGATCTGATCTGTCTCCCTCACTCTCTCATCTCATCAGTCTCACACTCACTCTCTGGTTTTGCACTGCACCGATCGACTCACACACGGGTAAGCCTTTCTCTCTTTCTCTCTCTCTCTCTCATCTCTGATTTTTTGTGGACCAACAGATCTGATTTTTGTTGTGGACCAATAGATCTGATTCGAAATATGATCGTAGTTGTGATATGATTTTTATGATCTTAGTTCGAAATATTTATGATCTGATTTTTGTTGTGGACCATAAATTTCAGTCTCACCGATTAGATTTCTGTTTTGGCCTCTATTTGGAATGTAAATATGAATCTGTTTTGATCTTAGTTGTGTCTTAGTTGAATCTGTTTATTTTATTAATTGTGTCTGTATTAAATCTGAAATCTGAATCTGGATGTTATTTAATTTTGGAATTCAGATTGACCAACTAGGTGGAATTCAGAAAAAATAGGTAGAATCTGTTTGTTTAATTCTGAATTGAATCTGTTTATTTAATTCTGAATTTTTATAAGTTTTAGTTCATTAATTATTAATGTTGGAGCATTTTAGAAAATATGAGAAAAAATGTCCAAAATAAAGATTGACAAAATGGGAGAAAAAAAAGGTTTAAAAATAAATTTTTGAGAAAAAAAATTCAATCCGCAAACCGCTCGCAACCGTCCGCACACCCGCGAACCCTATCCGCACAAACCGCAAACCGCATTGTGGGCGGTTGCGGGTTGATTTTTTTCCAAACCGCATAGATGCGGGCGGGTCCAAACCGAACCGCAAACCGTCCTAAACCGAACCGCGGACACCCCTAAAAACTAGACAGAAAATATTACATTAGCAACCACTTGATATCAAATATATATTATTGTATTTAGGTTAAATTTTGGGTTAGAGGCATACGTTATATAATGATATATTATCAGGTAGTTGTTAATGTACAATTTGTCTAATTTTGGCAAATGTTAAATTCAAAAGTAAATTCAAAAAACCTTAAAAAATGAAAGTGTAAAGTTAAAAAAACTAAATTAAAAAAAATGTTAATGGCTAAAATATTTATAAAAAAAGAAGAAGTAAAGTGTAATTTATTTTTTTATTTTGGTGACTTTTGGCCTTTAAAGTTTTTTATTTTTATTTTTATTTTGACTCTTTATATTTCAAGTTTTTTTAATTTATTTTTAAACTTAATTTTTGTTAAAAATTAGAACAAAAAAATGACAGCATAACAGTCATGTAGCACAAAAATATTTTATTATGGGTCCGTTTGGGAAGGGCTTTTCTGGGTTTTTTTGGCTATTTTAGCTACAAAAGACAAAATAGTCTATTTTAGTCACAAAAAATAAAACATCACATCCAACCCATAATCATTACACTCTTCTCTCACAAAAAAAGTCAAAAAAGCCAAAAAGTCAAAAAGTCTTTCCCAAACCAAGCTTTTTAGCCCAGGTTAAAATAGCCAAAAAAGTCAAAAAGTCAACCCACTTCCCAAACGAAGGCTATATATAATTTAAACTCTAAATTTAAACACTAATATAATAATACATTTTTTATATTATGTGATAGTTATTATGATATTTTCTGTCTAATTTTGAACATAAGTGAATCTTCGGAGCAAAGTAAAAAAAAATTAAAACATAAAATATCAAAGTAAAACAAAAAAAAAATAATAATTAAACATAAAAGGAATAAAGTGGAATTTAAAATTATATAAATACGTATTGAAATTTTGTTTGTTTAATTTTATTACGGGTTTTAAAATAAAAACAACAATGATTGATGGCCCGAAAAATCATAATTTGAATGGTTCAAAACATTTAAAATGATGTCATTTTTAATATAAAATGATATCGTTTTAACACATTTAAATCATTCGAGGTATAAAAATTCGGATCACCAAATATTTTTTAAATAAAAATAAAATAAAAATAAAAATTTCCATTGCAGGTCAAACAGTGGAGTCCGGAAAATCGGACGTTATGGTGGGACTTTGTTTGTAAAGAGATGAGAGAGAGAGAGGGAGAGAGTCGGGCAGTCAGTGATGAGTCTGTGGATTGATATTATTATTCGCAGTCTGACACATTCACGGATGTTATTTATTTAACGCTTTCGCTATTACCTCCTTTTCCGATAAATACCACTTTTTCATGTTCGCTCGCTCGCTGGGACACAAACCTAACGGCTACTTTCCTCAAGGAATTAACTAAACATTTTTTTCTTTTGTTCTTTTGGCGGGAATCTTTTCTTTGTTGGTTGGTTGCCCAACGACGCCGTCGCATCATAAATATCAACGTGACATGAAATCATTCAAATCACCACATCCACCTTGCTAACCTTAATTTTTTTTTTTTTAATCCCAAAAATAGTATTGTATGTTTGATTTGAAATTTTTTAAAAACAATTTTTTTGAGTTTTTAATTAATGTTTTTTTATTTTAACAATTTTTTAAAATATTTAATCATATTTTTTATATTTAGTGAATTTTTTAATTTTTTTCTCACAAATATTATACTTTTTAAGTATATTTAGATTATGTGTATTTAAAAATAAAAATAAAAAATTTACGTAAAATATTAAAAAAAAGTTACTAAAATAAAAAAAAATGTGAAAAATAAAAAAAAACTCAATTTTTTAAAAAACAGTGTAAATCAAACCAGATATAATAATAAGAAAAATTATTTAAAAAATTAAATTTTTTCCTTATAATAAACTAAATTTTGATTTTGATTTTGATTTTTAATATTTTAATTTGTTTTCAATCTAAATTATTCATCTATTTTTGTTAAGTAAGACCATCTCTAACGCTTCACCAAACCTGACATCAAATTTAAAATTTGGTGAAAAAGTCACTTTTTTTAGCTCCAACGATTTCATCAAATCGATATCAAATCGAGAATTCACCAAACCTTTCACCAAAATGAGAACAAGCGCAGCATTTCACCAATCATTGTTCCTGACCGTTGGGGGAGACCAACCGGTCGACCAGCTGGTTGACCGGCCGGTTGACCAACCGGTCGACCACTAAAGAGTTCAAAAAGTTCAAAAAAAAGTTCAAACAGTTAAAAAAAAATTATTTTTTGGCTTACCGGTCGACCCGGAAAAAGGTTCAAACAGTTCACTGAAAAGGTTCAAACAATTCAAAAAAAAAATTACATTCACCGGTCGACCAGCCGGTTGACCAACCGATTGTCTCGGCACAGATTTGATGAAAATTTGATTTGACGAACCATTGGAGCCCTCCGTATCAAAATGAGAAAAAAGTCATTGTTTTACTCAAATTTGATGAAAATTTTGGTGAATCGTTAGAGATGCTCTAAGACCCACAAAAAAGTAATATTTTAACTATTAAACTTAATGTAGGTATATGAATATCTAAAATATCATTTTTCGTTGAGTTTCATAACTATTAAACTTAATGTAGGTATATGAATATCTAAAATATCATTTTTCGTTGAGTTTCATAACTAAAATTTCATTTTTTGTGTCAATTTTATTTAACAAAAATAAATAGATTGTTTAGATTAAAAACAAATTAAAAGACTAGAATCTTAATTAACAAAACTAAAATCTCAGGGTTTATTTTATTATAATGGTCAAAATCTGAATTTTTTTAAATATAATTTCCCATAGTATTAATAATTGTATTTTTTGTCTCAAAATATGTAATTTTTGTTATTTTATTTTAATATTTAAATTATGTTAATTAAATTCTTAACATATAAAAAGTATTTTAATTTAATCCTAAATCAAATTACATCAATAGATGTTGTGCCTGTTAAATTCAAGGTTTAAGAGTGCTATTTTATAGATTATATAACGCATATCACATATTTTAAAATTAAAATTGTGATTTATTGAGTGAATTTTCACTTTAAAAACACACATTACATGCTTTGTAGACTAAAAGTTTAGTGTTTAAATGAAATTTCATAATTATTTAATTTTAATGGCGTATGATGACTGAATTAAATTCAAAATCAAATTAAACATTAGAAATTAAAATGACATAAACATGGGAGATCAAAAATATAATTGACATCCCAAAAAAAATGAATAATACAGAAATTAATCGTTTATTGAGTTTAAAAAAAAAAATTTCAAATTGGGGATGGTAGGGTTGTCGGGTCGGCTGAGGAGGGAATTTCCGGGCCGACCCGGCAGCCTTCAAGCATGAACACTACGTCCGCCATTGAAGGCCGCTCGAGCGGGTCAGGCATTGTGCAAAGCAGACCCACTTTCACTCCAAGCAAAAACTCTTCCCACTCCGATGATTCCGGGTCAAGCTCAAGCAAACCCGGCTCGAGCAATTCTGTGATTTGAGCACTTTGCAATTGCCTCTTCACCCACTTCACAATATCTTCATCTTGTGTGAACATCACAGGTTTTTTCCCAGTTAGTATCTCCAACAATACAATTCCGAAGCTGTAAACATCTGATTCTTTCGTCGCTTGACCCGTTAATGAAGCCTCGGGTGATATATACCCGAGAGTCCCAATTGGGGTTGAAGATGAAGAAGCCTCTGCTGGGGTTGCTATGGTTAATTTATCTAACCCAAAATCTGAAAGATGGGCTTCGAAATCTGCATCAAAAAGCACGTTTTGTGGCTTGACATCGCCATGAATTGTGGAAACTGAGTGCAAGAATGCAAGCCCGCGAGCAATGCCAAGCGCGATTAGGTGTCGCATTGGCCAATTTAGTACATGCCCGTCTTGATGTGATGCCTCTTGGAGCAATGTTGCGAGATTTCCATTGGGCATGTAGTCGTACACCAAAAGGCGAATGTCGGGTGGTCCTGCATAGTAACCGCGCAGGACAGTTAAATTTCGATGCTTGACTTTGCCTAGAGATTCAGCTTCTTTGCGAAAGGTGCCTATGTCGATTGATGTGTCGGGTAGGCGACGAATTGCAAGCACCATCCCATCTTGATAAGTGGCTTTGAACACAAGCCCATATTTTCCCCTGCTCAATACATTTTCTTCGTCAAATTGTCTCGTTGCTTCCACTGTCTCTGCATATGTTATCTTGTTGTTGAACATAACAAGTTTTGGCCCTCCATTTTCTCCGCTTCCACGACCCCTTTCCCCTCCCGAGCTTGCTCGAGCTGGGCTTCGTTTCTTCTCTCCATTTCTTCCTTGTCCAAGCTTTTTTCGCCAACGCAATAGGCCAAATATGTATCCACAACAACACAACATCAAAAGCAAACTTCCTCCAATAGCCACAGCTAGCAAGAAGATCAACCTCTTCCTCTTTCGCCATATCACATCCTTGCAATTTTTTTTCAATGGCTTCCCACATAGATTTTCATTCATTGCAAACACAAAAGGATCATTGAACTGAGAGCCCAACGCCACTGGAATCTCACCCTCGAGGTTGTTACTTGACAAATTCAAGTATTTCAAACCAGAGATGAGTGAAAGGTTCGCGGGAATAGCCCCACTCAATCTGTTTGAAGCAAGATTCAATATTGTTAGGTTTGATAACTTTGACAGCGAGTCTGGTATTTGGCCTGAAAGTTGGTTTGCATCAAGTAACAGAGAATTCAGAGAAGAGCATTTGGAGATATCTTCGGGGATTGAGCCTGCTAAAACATTCTGACCCAAATCAAGCTTTTCCAAATGAGCAAGGTGTGAGAGATCATCCACAATATGACCCGTTAAGCGATTACCACGGAGCTCTATTACTTCAAGGCTAGAACAATTGCCCAACTGTGCCGGAATAGAACCATCAACATGATTATCCGATAGGGAGAGAACAACCAATGACTGAAGAAAACCATATGTTGCTGGAATCTCACCAGAGAAAGTATTGGATGACAGATTTAGATACTGTAAGCTTGATAAGCTACTGAATCCTTCAGGAACAGCCCCAGACAACTTGTTCTCTTCAAGAGCAACAACTTGTAAACTTGGCAACCCAAAAAGCTCAAATGGCAACTTCCCAGATAGATTTTGCTTGCTCAGATCAAGAGTAGTGAGCCTCATTAAACTTCCAATACTTGCAGGAATTTTCCCAGAAAACCCACATCCACTCATATTCAGAATCACCAATCCCTTCAAATCCCCAATATTGCTTGGAAATTCACCAGAAAACTTGTTATTGCTCAAATTCAAACTACTCAAGTTGCTCAGCTTCATGAGCTCTTGTGGCACAGTTTCAGTCAGATTATTATTACTCAGATTCAACGATTCAAGCTCGTAAAGGCTCCCGAGACTCGATGGAATCGAACCCGAAAACCGATTTCCACCGAGAGATAGAGTCTTCAAGCTCTTCAAAACCCCCAAAAATGGCGGAATCGAACCCGAAAACCGATTTCCTTCAACATCAAGCACATTGAGCAACCCACATTTCAAAATTCCACCAGGTATTTCACCGGATAGCGAATTATTGGCAACTCTAAGCTCTTCCAACGTAGCAAGATTACCGATTTCATTACCCAACAATCCAGAAAATGAATTTCCAGAAACATCTAGAACTTTGAGCGAAGATACATTCGTCAACCAATATGGAAACACGTCGTTGATGTGATTCTCGTGAAGGTCTAAAACCTCCAAAACAGAAAAGAACAAGAGGTTTGGTGGTTTGACTAAGCCCGTGAACGAATTAAAGGAGAGTTGAACGATTCTTATAGTCGGAGGAGTATTGATAGAGACATTACAGAATATTGATGTGGGGACCGAACCAGAAAGTTGGTTGTGAGAAAGCGAAACTACCTGAAGCCTCGGAAGCGAACCAATCGTTGCCGGAATTACACCTTCAAGCTCGTTATCTTCGGCGCTCAAATGCAAAAGCGAAGAACAGTTCGCGATCGCCGAAGGCAAAGTACCTTTCAATTGATTCGAATCCAGCCATAGATACTCCAAAAATTGAAGCTCTCCGATGCTCGCCGGAATTTCGCCGGAGAAGGAATTAAATGAGAGGTTAATGAGTTGAAGCCGAGAAGATGCCGAGAAGTTCGCCGGAATTTTGCCGGAGAAGTTGTTGGAGGACAGATCGATGTACCGGAGAGTAGGTTGAAGGTCGCCGGAGATCTTTCCAGCGAGGGAGTTGTGAGCGAGGTTGAGGACTTGAAGGTTTGTGAGGTTGAAAATCGCCGGCGAGAGTCCGCCGGAGAAGGAGTTGGAGTGGAGATAAACGGCGCGTAATAGGGCGCATTGAGAGAGGGAGGGTGGGATTGAGCCATTGAAGGAGTTGGAGTGGAGGCTTAACTTGCGCAGCTGGCGTAGGTTAGAGAGACGGTCAGTGAGAAGTCCAGAGAGATGGAGACGAGGGAGGCGGAGTTCTCGAACACGGCCTTGGAAACAGACAATGCCGCGCCAGTCGCAGGGAGCTGAGGGAGTTGACGAATCCCAGCCGTCCAATGCACCAAGTGGATCGTCGAGATTAGACTTGAAGGACGATAGAGCTTGGATCTCGGCGGTCAACGCGATGACGGAGCAAGATAAGGCGGTGAACCAGAGCACGGCGGCGAAGCAGAGGAAAGTAGCCGTTGACATGGATGAGATGACGAGTTAGTGAAGTTTTAGGGGGTGCGCTTGGGGAGCGTATGCTAGTGGGAAGCATAGCTAGGAGGTAGGAATGTGTGATTGACAGAAGCATCGCCATATGTTGCGGTTTATAGTAACAGTGTGGTGTTGTATTGTTGCGTAGTGCGCTCTCTCTCTCTCTCTCTCTCTCTCTCTTTCCTGGTGCTGTGTTTGTTGTGTTTTCCTCCTCCCAAAGAACTTTTAATAGAGAGAGGAGGGGCTGGGAGGTTGGCCTTTTTTGCACTTGGTAAAAACCTCACTCATGTGGTGTTAGCAATCATTAAAAGTCACACTTTGTGTTTTCTTATCATGAAGATTGTGATAGACTCATTAGTATGGTATTTTTGCAAGCTCACTTCAGTGACTTGATTGTTGATGTTGATGATGTTTTTTAAAGAAAATTGGAAAAGTTATGCTATGTAAAGTCGTTTTTGCAAAAAAAACCTTTGAAAGTGAAAGTGTGTATGTATATGGGACTGGACTGGTCCACTAATATGGATTGAACTGTTCACTTTGGCTCAACACACATCTATATAATCTTTATGTATTATTCATATAAAAAAGTTATTTTTTTAATAATTTAAACTAATTTATGATTTTATTAAAGATAAAGATGTTAAAATCATTTAATTATGATTGTCTGATCAATGATCTATATATGAGGATCTAAAAAATAAATAGAATAAATTGTCAAATCGAAGAATCTGGCTAGGCCACTAGTCTACATTAATGAATTATAGAGAAACTAGTTTTTTTATATATACATTATTTAATTAGGGTTCAACTTTTCTCTAGTTGGGGGAGAGAATTAGAGCCATCTAGCTTGGATTTCATATTGATCATTCATTCTTTAATTTTTTTCTGTGTAAATTATTAATGAAAAATTAAATTAATTTAATAGCCATATGATTTTAGAAGCAAGCTTGCCTTGGATGGTACATTTTGTATGACTATGGACCCACTCAAAACCCGTTTCAACGATATGAAATGTTTTTGTTGAGTCTCTCAAGCAAATTATCCATATCACCCCCAAAAAATGATGAAATATCAAAAATTACTTGATCAAATTACAATTTTCCTAAAAAAATAAACAAGAAGTATGATTTTAAAATAAATCTTTTATTTTTATAGAAATATAAACCAATCATATATCTATGAATTCCCAATAAATTTAAAGTTTTGTATAAATAATTTGCTTAACAGGACTTACAAATTAAATTATTCAAATCACTAAAACAAATCAAAAATAGACCCACAACCATGCAAACTTGACCCTATGACGGCAAGCTTGACTCGTGATTTTATATTAATCTTAAGAAAAAAGGATGACTTCTAGTCCATTATTGTGGGAGAACACAACTCCTCTCTAGTACTTGATCTCATTGGTTACTGTCAGCCATTTTTTTTTGACTCGCCAAACGCGTTATTCATATAAAAAATTAAGTTAATTAGATATCGATAATTACTTAATCGAATTGCATTTTTCATTAGGTGAACGTTTTGAATCATCAATGTGTGCCTAGGTGGGCCCACAGTGGATCGGACTGATCATCTTCATCACCAATCTGATCATGGACTAAGAAGAATTAATCTATACTTTAAAGTCATACATATTATTTATTTTTTAAAAAAAAAATTACATATAATAAAATCATATGATTATTATTATCAAATCAATCTATTTCTATTTTTTATTTATAAATAATCTTCACATAGATCCAGAACATAAACAAAATGTAAAACAAAACAAGTTTTATGGTGGGCCTACAAGAGGTAGATTGAACTCTCCGGTCCTTGACTGGGAAGGAAAAACCTCAATCTTGATCTAAACTTGGTATAAATAGAAATTACACTTAAAATTAAGAAGAATTCATTTATACTTTAAAGTCATACATATTATTTATTTTTTAAAAAAAAAATTACATATAATAAAATCATATGATTATTATTATCAAATCAATCTATTTCTATTTTTTATTTATAAATAATCTTCACATAGATCCAGAACATAAACAAAATGTATTGACAAAACAAGTTTTATGGTGGGCATACAAGAGGTAGATTGAACTCTCCGGTCCTTGACTGGGAAGGAAAAACCTCAATCTTGATCTAAACTTGGTATAAATATAAATTACACTTAAAATATTACTAAAACAAAATATTTTTATTTTTATTTTTTCTGGTGCATAATATTTTGTTAAGAAAAGAAATTGAGTGTGGGCAGCCAGGTTGTTAGGCTTTCATGTTGTGGGCGTGCATGGGATAACTGCACTTTTAATTTCTCACTTCCAAGTCGTGACCTTCACAAGACTTCTAACATGACTGCGATAGATTGAGCCAAAAAAACAAAACAAAAAAACTGGTTATCGAACCAAGTTAAACTTTAACTCTCATCAAATAGGTCGATTACATAAATTATTCTTCTCCATTCTATTTTATCAACGGCCATTTAGTTAGTCAAATTCAGGATATTCATATATCTATTTACTACACTAGTCAACGTTAATCTAGGTCTGTTCCTTCCCCTAATACTTCCATCTACCGTCACCAGTGGCGGAGTCACATGGGGTCTAGGGGGGTCACATGCACCCCTGGATTTTTGATTTTAGATTTTTTTTTTCATATGTATATAAATAAAATTTTAAACAAAAATAATATTTAGAATAAAATGTCAATAGCATTTTTAAATTTATGAAAATAATAGTGATTGTTTTATTGAAAATGAAGTGACTATAATAAATTATATTTTTATGTATGAAAATTTTATGAAAAAATCTCAATATAAAGGTAATATCCATTATTATTGATATGCAAATATAATTAATCTCACATAGTATATGTAAAAATTACTACGAGTGTTAGTTATATTTGCATGTGGAGTTGACCCTTCATATGTTGCTTCACTATTGGTTGGTAAAATCATAAGTCAATAATGACGTGATATCACTATTATATGAAAATTTTACTTAAATTTTGTAAAAATTTAATTTATCTTACTATTATATAAGTTATTTTAAGACCTAAATATATGACTGTTTTTACGTTGTCCATGATACACTAGTTACATGCAATACTTTCTTTTCGATTTTACTCGAAGTTAATTATAAAATTTTATGTGAAATACTTTTGTAATAATTTATTTAAGTTTTTGTATTTAATATTAATTCAAAAATTATTATTATCTTCTTATTGTTGGTTATGAAAAAGAAAAAAAATTTAAGTTGTAATTAAGAAGTGCCGCTTCTGATCTAGTTTCCTGGCTTCGCCACTGACTGTCACTGTATCATATATCTTCACTATTACCTCTGTTGGCCTCCGTTGTATATGACTAACCACCTCAATCTATTCTCTCTCAACTTATCTTCCATCGGTGCTACTCCTATCCATTCATGAATATACTCATTCCTAACTGTCTTTTCTAATCTTACCATACATCCACCTTAGTATCCCCATATCAACAATACTCATCTTATCTACATGTTTTTCTTAGTTGCCAAACATTCCGTCTCATACAACATTGTTAGTCTAATAGCTGTTCTATAGAAATTTCATTTTAGTCTAGTGGGTACTCTTTTATCACACAATATCCTAGACACAGTCCTCCACTTGAGCCACCCTGCCTTAATTCTATAGACTACATTCGCTCCAATCTCCCCAACCGTTGTGATAATCAATCCTAAATAACGAAAATATTTATTCTTAGGTAGTTCTTGGTTCTCAATCTTCATTTCTCCTCTGCTTCCATTTTTACTGTTACTGAAATTACATCCTATGTACTTTGTCTTAGTTCTGTTTATCATAAATCTTTTAGATTCAAGTGCCTCTCTCCAAGTCTGTAACTTAGTGTTAACTATTTATCTAGTCTCATCCACTAACACAATATCATCTGCAAAACTCATACGCCATGGCACATCATCCTGAATATTCCTCGTTAACTCATCCATAACTAAATAAAAAAGATAAGGACTTAAGATTTATAGCAGCTCGGTTTAAGACACGACCCTTTTATATTCTTTGGTCTTGGATTCAGTACTCATGGTTGTTGTTTATACTCTTTGTTGTCTTGTTGTAATGTGGATTGGTTGTTTGGAGTTGTTGGTCATCTTTTGAACAGGTTAGGAATTAGAATTTCAAAGGAATTGATGTCTGTTTGTTGTTGAGCTCGCTTAAGCGGTCTTTTTTTTGCTCCAGCAATCTTTGGTTCCTCCCAGTATCTGTGTTTGTAATCTAAACTTCTGGGAGTGGGGTGTTCTTTGCTTGAGCCATGGGTTGGTTGCTCGAGCGATATTCTGTGTTTGAAGCTTGAGCAATCTTTTTGCAGGTCTGAACTACTAGGAGAGGGTCATTGTGCGCTTGAACCATGATTTGGTCGCTTGAGTGGTTCTTTGTGTCTGACGCTCAAGCGACACTACAACAAAATGCACATTCGGCGGCTAAAATTGGCGACTAAAAAAAATTTAGTCGCCAAAAGTTGTGGAATTGGTGATCAAAAATTTTTTTAGTCGGCAAAAGTAAAATATTTAGCTGCTAATTTTTTTTAGTCAGGGTATATAGGTTATTGGCGACTAAAAAAATATTTAATCGCTAAAAATGCCAAAATTGGCGACAATTTTTTTTTTGTTGTCGTATATTAAGTTTTGGCTACTAAAACCATTTAGTTGCCGAATGGAAAATAAAAAAATTATTTTTTACCTTTGGTGACCAAATTTTCAACGACTATTAAAACCATTTAGTCGCCGAATGAAAAATAAAAAAATTATTTTTTACCTTTAATTTTGGTCGCCAATAGTTTATTTTCAGCGACAAAAAAAAAATTAATTGTCGTATATTGAGTTTTAGCTACTAAAACCATTTAGTCGCCGAATGGGAAATAAAAAATTATTTTTTACCTTTTGGTCGCCAAAAGTTTATTTTTAGCGACAAAAAAAAATTTTAGTCACTGAAGAACTAAAATTTGTTGAGGGAGACATTTCAAATATTTTGGAGGGATTTGTAAAATACTTTTAATGACTAAAAAAATTTAGTCTGCATCGATCAAACTTTGTCCCTTAAAATATTAGACT